AATAAAATAAAATAATCAAAGAAAAAAGAACTTCCTTCTCTCTTTGAATAATGCCCAGCTTGTTCGCAATTGCTCAAAGACTGGCTTTGAGCACACCATAAGGCAGCAGCCCTGGTGAGCTGCTGACTTCTGAGTGGGCACTATGAGTGGAGCTAAAGGCTGGTCCACTTCCAGCTGCAGCAGCACAGCATGCAGCATGGTTGGAAGGTTGGGCTGCCGAATCTCCACACTGACCCTGTGGCGTGAGCTCACAGGAACACAGGAAGTGGTTTTGAGGGCTCCTGAGCAGCCAGGAGCCACAGCAATGCCAGTAAAAACAGTAAGGAGCAGAAAAACTATAAATGGAAACAACTGGTCAAGAAGAACAAACTGACTTTAGTGTCTAGCAGGTACTAGGAACAGAAACCAAGAAGTAGAGTGGTCAGAAAAGATGTAGAGAGGCCAAGTGAGGCTGGTGAAAGCAGAAAGAATTTCTAGGACAGTAAGCCATGTTGGTGTTACTATCTTTTTATTTTTAACTTTAAAAAATCATTTATTTATTTGTTTGTTTGTTTGTTTATTTATTTATTTTTTAAATTTGGTACAGGGTCTTACTATGCAGCTCAGACTAGTAGTGATCTGCCTGTCTCAATCTCTCCAGTGCTGGGATTATAAATGTGCACCACCATGCCCGGTTTTGGTGGCCGGCTCAGTGTGGGGCCAACGCGGCATGCATGCAATACTGGGGATCGAACCCGGGTCCTTGAGCTTGCCAGGCAGGTGCTTAGACTACCGAGCTACCTCCCTAGCCCTACAGTGTTAATATCTCAAAGGGACTAACAACATAAGAAATGAAAAAAGGGGTGAAAGTAGCTATAGTATTTACCATGGCCTAGGGTGCTCGGATCATTTATGTGAACTTTTTTGAAGTTTAGAAATCACTGTTCTTAAAGTGTCCACTGCCAGATCATGCCCTCCTTTCCTTTCTAATGAGGCCTGTGCTGACTATGGCCAGTATTTTGACAAGGTCTGCCTGCCTTCAAACAACTCAGCTGTGTTTCTTGGGGTTCATTTGTGCCTCCCTTTGATGTCGGGTCCCTTTTCTACTTAGGAGTCAGTGGTATTCTTCCCTTTTTTTATTAAGCAGTCTCTGAGCTTCTCAAAGGTGTTTCCAATCGCTTCTCTCCCATTAAAATCCAGCCATTCTGGGCTCCATGTGCTTCTGAAACATTAATCTGGCATCTAAGGCACATGGATTTGAAGGCTCATGCCCTGTGTGTCCCAAGAAAAGGTAGCAATAGTGAATGACATAGATTTGCTCATAAACAACTGTTATTCAAAGAACAGGAACTATCTCTGAGAGCAGAAGAAGTGGAGGAGAGTTTAAGTCCCAGACAATATATTCTGCTAAAACAGTGTGATAGGTCTGTACAGGCTGATAAACTTACTTGCTGGCTGAAAAGGCCAAGATAGACTACTGCCTACATTTAGGTCAAGTTTTTGCAGCTTTAATCCAAGGTATTAAGAACACTGAAAACTAGAGCATTATAACAAGAGTTTTCATTTAAGGATAACTTGCACAGCATTTTCTAAATCAAAGTAGGTGGTCACCTAAGGTTTTCACGGAAGATTAATCTCTGCTCTGCCTATGTGAGAGCCCATGTTATTAACTGCATCATTTTGCCGTTTCCTCATCCTGCTGCTGCTTGTGTTCATGAGTGCAGAATGCTCAAAGAGCATGTGCTGCAGTCCCTCAGGTTTGCCAGACCTTATCGGTTGTGCTCCTTACCCATTGCTTCCCCTTGTTAGCTTTTGTAAAGCGGATGCCAGTCTAAACATTCCCATCCACCTGCTTAACTTTAGACTGGCTTCACATTCCCTCCCGGCCTCTGGACTCCCTTTCCTTGAATATTTGATTTTAGAAAAGATTCCATTGTAAATCTTTACTCTGCTCATTTATGAAGTTAATATCCCTGTCCCTCAACCAGTTTTATACCCCAGGAATGTCTCTCTGAAGGATCTGGAATCCAGGCATTGAAACTTAACGATTCAAGTAAATAATGCCCTAACCTACCACTTCCTATGAGAGAGAACCAAAGCTCCTAACTGCATCATTAGCTAATGTGGATGGCATAATCATATGGACTAACTTCCTGCCAATATCCTACATTAATTTCTCACTTTTCCCTCAAGAATTAAAAACCCTCCCTCTTTTGTTTTAGTGAAGTTGAGGTTGATCTTTCTTCTCCTGCAATAGTCTTGTGCATCCTTCCCTGCCTGTTTAGCTTTCTGATGAGATCTTTTCCTTCATGTCTGAAATAGCAAAAAAATCCCTTTTTTCTATTATTTCAAAAAATATTTCTAGATAAAACTTAGCTTTTTAAATTTACAAGTCCCTAGTCTTTTCTTTTCCCTTCCCTGTGTAGATATTACAGATTCCCGGAAAAAGTTACTAAAGTTCCACACCATTTTGATAATACTTTTCTTTCTTGGGTGTTCTGTGGGTAATGGTGGGGTCCCACATATGATTTTCAACGATTCAACACACTCCCAGTGAGATCTTTCTCTCTGCATAATAGTCTACTCATAAAAATCACTTCTTCCTTTGATCGCAGCCAAAGGTATTATCGGGCTGAGTCTCGCTTAGCGAGGAGGCTTCACAGTGCTGAGCTGTACATGCTCAAACTAGTGGATTATGGAGGTCTGACATGTTCAGCTATCTTTGATTGATAAATGAATCCCCAGCACAGAGGAAAAATGCTTCCTATTTACTTATCTATTCTGATCATCATCAAGAGCACCTATAAAACAAAACCATGTGACAGTTCAGTGAAGTTTCTATAGAAGGATACAGTTAAAATTTGGGAAGCAAGCATATAATTTTTCCAAGTTTCTCTCACTTGAAAAAAAATCAGAGTTGTTCTGCTTCTGCAGCTACAAAATTTGGACTGAGCTGTCTTCAACTTGGTCAATTTTAATTCAATGGATGTTAGACAAAGGGACTGGGCACTGGAACTTTGATGTGCATTTACAAAATCATTAAATAAGCATACTTGTTTAATTCTTATACTGTGCCAGCCTTCTCAATCTGCAGTATTGCAAAAATAAGCTTCAAGATTTCTAGAGTTATTAGTATTTTTAGGAAATATTGATTTTTTCCTATGTCTGGCAGGACATTGTTGCACAAAATAATCTTGTCTTTTTGGTACCTGTGCTGTGTTAGGTTTTGTAAAAATAGACCTTTCTTCCTCATTTCCCCTACAATGTACAGTCCTTTTAGTTTTTTCTGCTTATTTTGACTGTCCAAATGAAAAACATGCTTCTTTATTTTATTATTAAGTATTTATTTTTAATTGACAAATAGTAATTCTGCATTCTTCTGGGGTAAAATATGATATTTTGAACTTTGCATATGTTATGGAAAGACTTATTCAACCTACCAAACATATCTATCATCTCACCAGCTTCTTTTAAAAAGTTTGTTCTCTTAGAAACTTTGAAAGGTTTCTTGAAAGGAAGTGGTAATATTCAATTAATTGTCCAATCTTGCATAACTATATTTGTTCATCTGGGCAACAGATTTGATGATAAAAATAAATAATATAAGTCATTGTTAATTAGTTTTTCTCATTTTGAAAATCCGTACCATACGTATTGTTGTATGTTACACTCTTTCTGTCTTTATTTCTGCTGTTTGCTTTTGCTTTTGTTTTTTCTCTTCAAAATAGAAAAAGAAAGGCGAAGTGCATTGCCACTCACCACCATCCCTGTGCACTGCAGCAGATTGTCGGAGTATTCCTCGTTTCTGGCTGACAGGTGCTAGCTTCCCTGCTCTACTTAGACTTGTGTCTACAAAAAGGTCCCAAAACCAGATGACATCATGCCAGAAGTAAAGAATATGGCATCAAACATACACTAGGACATGAGAAGGTCTTGCCCAAACTCTCACACTTGAGGCTCAGGTTTTAAAGTGAAAAAAGCGAGAAGAACAATTCAATTTCCCAGCATCAATTTTAATGTTATTTCCCTTTTGGTAGTTCTACTATTCTTTTGGTGCAGTCAGGTTATTGGGCAATAATAAAGGAGAATATTAAACCTATCATCTAACACTTTGCTTTATGTACTCTGACCCTCATTCTTGCCAATAGCGTCCTAATTTCTTCTACAACCTTCTTGAAAGAAGGAGGTTTATAACTCTTTAGCTCATGCCCACTACTAATGTAGGAAGGGGAGACTGAAATGAATAAATAAATACATAAAATGAAGGAATCATATTTTTTATGATATTTAATCTGAGATGTGCTTTCCCCAAGTGTCTAGTTCTTTAAGTAGCTCCCTAGGGAAACACTATCAGCCAATACTTAGCAACTATGCCTTTACATAAGCAAATAGCTTTCACTGTAAGTATAATCTTTGGTTTCCTTTGCAGTTCAGGTCACCTCCAAGCTCTGTTTATCCTTTGTTTTCTATTGGACTTGAAAAATAAATCATTTGTAGGACAAATTCTCTCTGCATGACATCCAAGTGACAGCTTATAGTTTAGTCCTTATTTGCATCTGCTTTTTGTCATGAATGGATGATGCATCTCCTTTTTGTCATGAATGGATGATATCATTTTTTGCGAGGAAGACATTAAGTGATTCATTTCACAAATTTTATGTGGTGTCTACAGTGTGCCTGCTCTGAGATGATGCAGGAAGATCAACGCAGACTTCAGAGTTCATTGGACTGTGTTAATGTCAACACTCAACAGCGTTTATTGTGTGTGTGTGTGTGTGTGTGAATGAATACACAAGTCCATAAACATTTTTGGCACAAAATATAGAGTCCAATAATAAGTTATGATAACTCACTATCTTTTGCCTAGCTGGATGTCAAAATAGCTAATTGTATGTTTTGTGTCAAGAATTTTGAATCTTAAGGGAAAGTGCAAAGGTTGTAAGTACTAAAGGCTTGTTTCTAGCCTTTCTATGAATGTTCATTGAAAACTGTAGGGAGTTTCTTGAAAGTCCCATACTCACTCATCTCTGCAAACAGCTGTCTTCTTTCTGCCATGGTACTTCCTCTTTTCCCACTATCTTCAATCATTCTATGAGACAAAATTGTGACAAAGCATGTTATCCTCAGGAGGTAAATAGCCTTTTTTGTTTTTGTATTTTGTACAAGGCCTACAGGGTCTCACTAAATAGATCGGACTCGTAGTGAGTCTCCTGTTTTCAGCCTCCCAAGCGCTGGGATCACAGGCCCGCACGCCACCATGCCCCAGTCTCAATTGCCGTTTTAGCGCCCCCCGGGGGTGGGGCCTGAATGGCATGCTGGGAATCGAATCCCAGCCTCTGCGCTCTGCCTAAGCAGGCGCTTTAGACCCCTGAGCTATCTGGCCAGCCCTACACCTTCTTCTTCTTCTTCTTCTTCTTCTTCTTCTTCTTCTTCTTCTTCTTCTTCTTCTTCTTCTTC